CTTTCTAAAGCACACGCGGCACTGGAAACTTGATTTTTTGAAGAAAGGAATTTCCTCCCAGAAAGTGACTGTCCTACCTCTGCAAACCCCCCGGGAGAACATGTGCCCAGCCCCGGTACGGGGGTTCACCCTGGCCACCCCAGGGCAGGGGACAGCAATGTTCGCAATGTGCGAACCTTTCTTTCCGGATGAAAAACTCTGTTTAAAACACAGCGATCCAAGCATGAACCCCCAGGCATGTGGACCGGTCTGGTCTGTGAACAGACTCGGGGGGAGGGGGGCAAGCTCGGGGAGGCCGAGACTGGGCAGGCCTTGTGCGCGGGGGCCTCAGGACCAACACCTCTGAGATCCTCTCCATCAACGCCGTTTCGTAAAGAAACCCGAAAGGAGCATTTTACCAACCAAAAAGTTCGCCCGCTTTTCAGGCGCCTTGACAAACTGCAGAAAATAAGAACTTTCAGAAACGTTCTAACTGTATGAAGTTTCTCGTTAGGGCACACGGCTGGCACGCACTTCCCGTTTGTTAGCATCCTGGTAGGTTTCCATTCTTTGTTCATTCTAATTGACGACACTGCTAAAAATAACGAAATTCTATTACTGTGAGTCTTTTAAAAAATAAGAAAAACACTCCCCGAAGGGGTCATAATGTGGCCGAGAGAAAAAACCAGCACAAAGATGGCTACGGGACCGTGCAGTGAGGCCACCTGGGGAGCGGGGAGAGCAGGCTGCATCTCTAATGAAGGGATACAGTTACTGCACAGAGATCAGGACCCGGTTCCCCAAGCCACCAACTCCCAGCCTTTTTTGCCAGAGCCTCACCAGACAGTGCAGAGCAGATGAAAAAAACAGACAAAGAGTAGTTCCTGGGAACAAACCTGTCACAGGTTCAAGCCCCTACCTCGGCACGTTCGTAGTGAGTGAGGACCAGACGGAGGGTCTCTCCCAGCCGGCCCCCCACCCAATTTCCTGTCTAGTTCCAGGCCTACTATTCGCTCCTTCCTTCTCCCGAGTCCCCTTCAGAAATCCTACCTGCGTCGGTCGCTCAGTCCCTTCAGGCTACTGCAGTTATTGCTGAGATCAGCCACCAAAAGCCACTAGTGACAAGCTCAGATCGAAAAGGGTTGATTACCCTCTCAATATTTTAGGTTTAAAAAAAAAACTGCAAAAATAACTCTGAAAAATTAAAAGCTTGGGTACTTTTTGGATCTAAAGATCATATCCCTGGACCTCTCTCTACCTCCCACCACACACACACACACACACACACACACACACACACACACCCCACATATGTACACACACGCACACACACAATTTTCCCAATCCCCCCACTTGGAAAACAGATCAAAGACCTAAATGTCTGAACTAAAGCCATTAAACTCTTAGAAGAAAACAAAGGCATAGATTTTCATAACCTTCGATGTGACAATTGGGCTCAGATATGAAACCAAAAGCACACGCAAGAAGAGGAAAACCTGGACGAAATTTAAAAGTTTGTGCTTCAGAGGACACCATCAAGAAAATGAAGACAAGTCACAGACCGGGAGAAACAATTTCTGAGTCACGCAGCCAGGATAAATACAGAACACTTACAACTCAATAATAAAAAGGGCAATTTAACCACATTCTAAAACGTCTACATACGCATTTCCCCAAAGAAGATAAACAAGTGGCTAATAAACTTCTGAAAACATACTCAGCATCCTTAAGCATTAAGGAAACAAATCAAACTCCCAATGAGACACCACGCCACACCTGAAATCGGGAAGATAGACAGTAACAAGTTGGGTGAGGGCAGATGATCAGAATCCTCATGTGTTGCTGGTGGTAACGGGAAACGAAAAACAGTCTGCATCGAATGTCACGTTACCACACGACCCGGCACGAGCCGCTCCCACGTACACCCAAAGGAGATGAACACATGTGTCCACATAGAAACGTGTCCAGAGATGTCCATGGCAGCGCTACTCACTGTGGCCCCAAGTGAAACGACCCAAATGCCCCTGTTATGTAACTGACACAGAACACGTGCTCCAGCCACACGACAGGATGGAGTACTACTTGGCAACAAAAAGCAGCGGAGCGCTGACACGCTCCCACGTGGGTGACCGCTGAAAACATGACAGCGTGCAGAAGGAGCCAGACACAAAAGACCATGTACTGTCCGGCCCCACTTACATGAAACGTCCAGAACTGGCAAATCTGTATGGAGACAAAAGGTAGGTCAGCCACACGTGGAGCGGGGGTGGGGGGGAAGGGTGGGGGAGGGTGTTACAGGCTTTCTTCTAGAAGGGATCACGTAACCTAAAACCGATTGTGGCGATGGTTGCATGACTGTGACTACACTAAAAACTACTGAACTGTATCCTTTAATTGGGAGAATTGTACGATATGTGAATTACATATCGATAAACTTGTAACCAAGAAATACTGTTTGGGGAAAAAAAATAACACCGCTATCAACCCTTAACAGCACATTAACAACAAACCTCCCCTGCGAATGCCACGCACACACGCAGCGTGGGAGCGTGCACTGCCATGCAGACAGCGAGAACTGCTCCAGAGGCGAATGCTTTCCCGGAGAAGTAGCTTTCCATTACCCTATCTCCAGCGCAGCGGAAAACCAAACGGAATGAACGGGCATTTGACCAGCCAGATAGCACAAGGCCATTCCCAGCACCAGTCACTCAGAGGAAACTCCTCCCATCCCCGCCTTGGGCATATTTACTCAGTTTACTCCAAGCACCTGCCTGCGCCCTGACCACAAGAGACCAGACCTCTGATGGCCCCCGGCCCAGCTCCAGGCTGCCCCAGGACACTGGCCCGTGGCAACGCTAGGCAGGCAGTCCCAGCGCTGTGACTCACCCACTCACCCCAACACTTTCTGAGCACCGACGGCAGAGCCCGCACAGCCCAGACCAAAGATCTGAATCATCGATAAATTCCATTCATTTAAGTGTTTTAAAGATGAGTTCATCAAAATGCTTCCACTCGGTCAGCTGCAGTGGGGGTAAACTTCCAGGTACTGGGGCAGAGTGTCGAAAACAACCCTGCCTGACCCTGGCTCTTTAGCCTTGTGCCCCAACGTCGTGTTTGGGGCTCTTCCTTGCTCCTGGAGGATTGTGGGAGTTTCCTAACCAGGGCTGCCTCGATGGCCCAGCGGCGACTCACTGCGGTCAAACACAGGAATGGGAGCGGGGGCTCTTCCAAACCCCAGCCTTTCTGGCGCTCTGCTAGCCAGGATCACGCGGTCTGGACCTAGTGGGTTAACCCGTGACAAAGCACGGGGACCGGGAAGGTGCGGGGAGAGGCCGACACGTCCACAGAGAAAGCGCTGTCCCCCTCCGTCCGAGACCCTCCCGCGGGGGATCAAGCTCCGTTGGACTCAGACGACAGAAACACGGTAAACCTAGAAGCGCCTTTCTGGAGATTTCCAACACACCCAGCGGAGGCTGCTCCAAATTTAGAGCCGCCGCACTAGCTGCAGCTGCGCTCGTCGCTGCGTTTCCATTGACCCGATTGCAAGACCTGCCAGAAGGTGCGCCCCTCCGGGTCAGAGAGCGACCCCTCGGACCCCCGCCCCACCGGATCCCAAACCGACCCTCAGGACGCCCGGCACCTTCCCCCTCCGCTTTCCAGCCCCTTCCCCTTACCCCTGGGTCCTGGGCCCCTCCGTCCGATTCCGAACCCCCTCCCCGTAGGGCCCCTCCTACCTCCACACTCTCGAACCTCCGCCCCTAGCCGGCCAGACCGCGGAACCCC